CCGGCCATTCAGCGATAAAACACCAGTGAGAAATGTTGCGTTTCCAGTATTGTGTTGCCCGAAAAGCACACCTAGGCACGGCAATTTGAATGGTTAGATTAGGTTGGTTTATTGGTCAACACATTTTTTTTAGGGGGTTGGAGGTTGGAACCTGTGAATTCCAGTAGGTTTTGCTAAAAGGCGAGTTGGTGGGTTCCTGTAGAGTTTTTGAATTTTGGTGTCAATTCATAGAATTTCAAAGATGGGGGATAATTCCGTACAGTTTCGTTAGCCGATTTTGAGCATTTTTTGTGCTAGTTTTACACATTTTTGTTCACTATTATTTAAGCCTGTTTTAACCCATAATTTCCCTGATATACTTCATGCCCTCCCCTGCTTTAGGGACTATCAAATCAAGATCATTGATGGAGAAATGGTACGCAATCTACTCAACAATTCATTTGCTGAAGTAACAGTGCCAAGAATTGATGAAATCATTGGATTTCCTGCAGAAAAAAACTTTTTTCAACTTAATCTCTGAGAGACTAATTACCATTTTTAGGAATACATTTGCATAACCAACTGCGATGATTTTGGTATTGATGGATTCTTCGTGCTCTCTACTTCCCAAATATATAAAAATGACTCCCTGGAACCCCACCCCCAATACCCACAATCTTGGTCCCAATAACTAAGGAGGCTGTGAATGGTACCAGGGAAATTATAGGGCAACACACAAATAATGTACAAAGAATTGGTCAATATATAGTCCAATGCAGATTATTTCTTGTACCATTGGCTGCAAGGTTTTGTCCTCTGCAAGAATATCAGCATCAGTTTGCCCTAGATTTGTGTTCATACCATAAAGATTAACTTACAATAGAAATCTGGTAATTCTTTTGAAAACAAATGTGTATATTTTTTGCTGAAAAATACTATTTTCTTAGAGAAATATATGTATGCTGTAGATACATTGGGTTTTTGAATTGTGCTCTTATCAGAGACTTTCCCTACTCCTACCAGCAATGTTGTTCCCATGAGGAATTGGGGTAGGGGGGAATTTCTCTCATTGTAGCCATTTTGAAGAGCAAAAGAAAGTGGAAAATGAAAATCCTGAGCCAATAATCACATTTTTAAGAAAAATAAAGTTGGTAATTGTAACCCTCAAGACAAAAAAATTGGTGTTTTCTGCTGGAAATCCAATGATTTCATTGGTTCTTGGTGTTTTTCTTCTGTGAGTGAATTGTTAAGGATATTGGATACCATTTCTCCTTTGACAATCTTGGCGGGAATGAAGTATAGTAGGGAAATTGTGTGGTAAAACAAGCTTAAGTGAGAAGAATTGAGAAAAAAACTGCAGAAAGTCAGCACAAAAAAAAAAAGAAAAAAAGGCCAATCATGCCCAAATTAAGGGGGGGGGGGAGAGAGAATCCAACCTACCTTCCAGTAAAATGCATGGGAATTCAAACATTCCAAATACCCCCAAAACATACTGACCAGTAAACCAACCTAATCTAACAATTTAAGTTTCGGTGACTAGGCGTGCCTGACTGCCCGAAGGAAGAGTTGATGGGGGGCTCCACCCTTCAATACCCCCCAGGTAACATTATCTTCCCCTCAGTACGTACATCAAGATATAGCTGAGTTTACACTGTTAAAATAAACCAAATACCTTTATATCTGGAAACATCAAATTTTTGTTTGCCTTTTTCTATGGTCTGGACCCCCCCCCCCCTCCTGATGGGCCCAGATGTCAAACTGGGATGGTTACTTGTCTTTCTTCCTTGATGCCACCATATAGTCTTATACAGTGGCATCAAGGAAGCAACATTTCTCACCGGCCTTCTGTCACAGAATAGCCAGTGAGCTGTCAAACCTTGCAGGTGGTGACTGAAAGTCAGAAACGCACAGTGGGTAGATCATTCTAAAGAACTGTATAGATAAATCTTAAAACACATAAATGGAGTATAATAACAGGAATGAAAAAATGTGTAATAGTAGACATTGATAATTAGCAATTAACAAGGACGTAGTAGTACATGAACTACTTGTGATATCGCAGTAATGAGTTGTCTGGTCAGTGTTTTGTTTTTTCTGGGAAGGTAAACAAGATGAGTGACTTGGACTCTTAGCGATAATATGCAGGTGATATTTTCATCATTTTTTGTTGAATATTAGACTGCTGCAGCTTAAACCATGTTGTTTCTGACAATTTCCAACTCTATCCTGTAACGCTCTGAAAACTTTGACATCTGACACATTTTATCGTAATCTTTAAGTCTCCTTTGCCCTTTCCGACACAATACTTTACCATAGTGCTATATGACCTTGGATGTGTACCATATTTATTTTCAAACATTAAACATTAAACATTACACTATGTAAGATAGCAGTATCCATTTCCCTATATATATGCACATCTCTATAAATTTTAACCCATACCAAATGTGGAAAATAGAAAATACCAAGACAGGATTCAGTCACAGAAGATTCGATACTCCATAGCGGGAACAAAGGAACTATATTGTAAAAGAACAACTGATCGTGAAGATTGCCTTGTGCACCAAATACCTTTAGAATCTGGGGGTTCTGCCCCCAAACCCTATTCAGATTGCTGTATTTCCCTACCAGGGGCTCTGCCCCCAGACGCCCTCCCAATCAATGTATTTTCCTATCAGGGACTCCACCCCTGGACTCCCTCTCAATCACTATATTTCACTATCAGGAGCTCTACCCCCTGTACCCCCGTAGTCTCAATACAACAATTTCAAAACTTTACACCTTTAGTTGCCTACCATTTTTACCTTAAATGGATAGAGGATAAAGTTTAGCTGCTCTTATGTGGAATTGGGGGAAACCTTTGTTTGGCTCCAGGAAATGCATTAGGAACAATCAATCAATTCTGCTCTTACTTCCAAACTTTGCACAATGAACAGGTTCACGTAACACACTGTGACTTGTGGAAATGTCAACAATTTTCAAAGAATTTCCTCTTTATTGGCCTAAAAAGGACCATAACCAAGATCACATTCATTCATAATATAGTCTACCCAGATTTATCTGTTTCCATACACCAGAGAACGCAAAGCCTAAAACTTCCCATGTTCTGCCCTATAGCATACGCTGCTTGTCCCAAGCCAGCGTACCATACATTGGTGACAATATGCTTGGTGCTCTGGCTAAGGCCATTAACTTCTCATCGTATATACAGGTTGCAGGTTCTTTAGTTTTTGGCCAACCAGCTTAAAAGAATAAGAATAATAATAAAAAAAAAGATTATAGTAAAATAAATAAATAGATAAATAAAAAGACAAAAAAAAATCAAATATCTTTTAACTAATGTTTTTTAAATATGATTTGTAAAATTAAATAATTTGTGTAAAGCTGGATGACTTGGATTACTCGGCAGGTGCATATTTTCTGTCTGTTGGACTTTAATTCTAGTATGTTATCTTTAGCTTAATGCATGGTTGAGCATGCTCTAAGTTATGTATCTATGCTAAACATTTGTGCTCTTGTTGGCCCTAGTTGCAATTGTTGAGAAATAGCCCCTCAAAAATAGGATTAAAGCCTCTTTTTAGCTGCATTACTTAATAAATTGGGTTGATCTTTATGGTATGGATACACTGACAGAAATTGATGATGTTTAGCACAGAGCTGAGTAAAGATAATATCATGATCAAGTGGTGTCCAATTAATGAACATTTGAGGATTTTTCTTAACAAGTTACTCTGTTATGCAAAGCATTTACTTTTTCAATATTTTTACATACCATTACAGGCAGCAGACCAGCTTGCAGTGCGACAGAAGAGAAGAATATATGACATTACAAATGTGCTCGAGGGAATTGGACTGATTGAAAAGAAAAGCAAAAACTCAATAGTATGGAAAGGGGGAGGGCCAGGATCCAACACTCAGGAGTTCACAGATCGAGCGACAATGCTGAAAGGAGAAATCTCAGAGTTAGATCAACATGAAAAGATGCTTGATCAGCATAGACAGGTTAGTTTATTATTATTATTATTATTATTATTATGATGATGATTATTATGCTTGTATAGTTCTAAAATATATATATATA